CATTTCCTTCTCCAGTGAACCACATTTTGTCAGGACTGTCTGTCATGACCTGTCCATCTTGGGTGGCCCTGCACGGTATAGCTCATGGCTTCACTGAGTTAAGCAAGCCCCTTTGCCACGACAAGGCAATGATCCATGAAGGGGGCCACTCTCTTAATCTATGTCTAATATCACCCCAAAACTGGAAGGCGGGCACACTTGTACCTAATTTCACAACTAATTGCTTTCCTTATACTCAGCTTATGGCCCAAAGCAATTATCACGGTTCTACACTGTAAGTCAGTGCTGGGCTCTCTTGTAAACTTTCTAGCCTTTCTTTCTAAGTTCTTACAGATATAAGCAATTCTGTTGCCTTATATTTCATGCAGGTTTAGCCATTGCTCTTTCATTTGTCCCATTTTCTTTCTCTCAAGACCTTTCCAGCTATGGAATAGATTAATGCTGCAAAAATTCATATAAGGCAGATATGAATGCAACAGGACACTATTAAGGCAATGATGCAAAGGAACAAAATAGCCACAAAAACCACCTTCTAGCCATCCCACGTCTGGTAACCATGAAGTTAGTGTTTCCCATATGCTGTGCAGCAGCGTGTCCCCTGTTTGAGAATATTAGAGAAAAAGTGAAACTGTTGCAGGATTAATCTGATGTCAGTGGACACTTGACTCCTGTGATCTACACATATGCAACAGCTTTTATTAACAATAGCACACACAACCTTGGCTTTCCAACAAAAAATCCAAAGCCATTCTATTTTGAATAGCTATTTTTGAAATTGAATTAACCTCCTCTTGTATCTTGTTAAGGACATCAGCGGTGGCTTTTGTAAAGATTTCGAGGGAGGCTGAAATATTGAGGAGGGCATTTACAAATCCTCTTCTGTAATATAATGGGCTTGTCAGAAATTACAAAAGGAACCTGAAACTCCCCAAATAAAGACACACAATACAAAGAATTATTGCAAACATTTGACTCATGATTTCAAGTGTTAAGGAATCCTGTTCTGATAAGGAGCTGTTCTCCCTTCTCCTTTACTTGGGGATGGTAGCTGTATCAGAGTCTATGGATTGAGTCAAGGATGGAGGGTTGAATTATAACTCTGGCCTGGAATTTGGATCTTTCACTTCTTCCCACGAAGTGAGGTGCTTGATTCACACTTCATCTGGGGCTTTGCCTTCGGAAAAGAGCCCTCAGTCTGTCTAGAGGTTCAGCTTCCCACTTGGATCCTGAAGAGACGCAGGAGTCTGTTTGTTCAGTCACAGGAGGGGACTTCTTTACTCAAGAATGATGGATCCAATTCTTTTAGTCCATCTACCTTCACTGAAGTATGGGTAGTGAGGAGCATATGATATGGCCCCTTCCACTTCAGACCAAGGGGGTCAATTGTTCAGGTTTTCACCAACACCCAGTCTCCAGGTTGAAATGGATGTACCTCATATAATGTTTTCACAATTAACCCAAAATTAGAAATCCAGATTCTACAAAACTCTGCCATTCCAAGGAATCCTCGCAATTGTTTTCGAGACGTGGGAGATTTAATCTGGGCTATAGCTTGTATCCTCTCCAGTAGGAGACTTCTTTGTCCCTTTGAAATTTGATCTCCTAAGTACACTTTACCATACCAGTGGGAAATAAAATAGACTGATTATTACCAGAATTTAATTGACCCCAAGCCTTTATAGATTTTGTTATTTCCTGAGGCTTTGGATCTTCTGGAGGGAAGGTTATTTAGGAGATGAGCATGGAATATTTTTTCTTAAAAATTAATTCCATTACAGCATGTTTTTTGCCTTCTAGTTTGCTGGAGTTTAGCAGCCATCTGTTTAGGACAGCCATCTCAGGACTGTAGCTTTTTCTAAAGTAAACAGCTTGGAGGACAATGAAGGAGCAACAGTTTCAGAAACATTCAGTCAATTGTGCTTTATTTATTGAGATTGGAAGAGCTATTTTTTTGTAAGGTGAGGCGGGGGGGGGGAATCCTCAAATAAGTACTGAAACAATATTTCCTGGGGTAAAATTAATGGAAGATTATAATTTCAACAAAATGTGGTTCAACCATGCAATTCAAAGATTTTTTTCCAGAATTCCTCTCAGTCGGTTTGGATTTTTACCCTCCTGAATTGCCTAATATGGTATCTTTGACATGATATCAGGTACATCTTTGTGTACATCCCTAATCCAGATTGTATGTGAACAAATTAAATAGCACAATTTTGAATTCAGATCCTTGGAGGAACTCCATTCTTTCAATCATTAACAATCCATAAAATGTACCCATTATGCTAAGCTTACCCAAAAATCTTCACTGAAGTACGTTATCAAAGGCATTTTGGAAGTCCAAACTCAAATGCATAATGAAGTATGTGACTCACCATCATAGTGGAGTGTCATTCACTATAGTAATATTAAATTGTACTAATATTGGATACAATTTAGTTCTTATCTACTAAAATTTAGTAAACATTTGCTTTTGATTCTCAGTAAAACTTGAAACAGGATTCTCAATCTTTCTAGCACTAAATGAACCCAAGTAACTTCAGTTGCTAAACTACAATTTCATAGAAACCTTTGTGATGTGGTAACTCCTATCTTGGCTGACAGACAGAACTGAACCATAGATCTTCCTAGCTAGAAGCACTCTGAAGCTAATTTATTATTCCTTATCTTTGCCCCCAATCAGAGCTTGCCCTTTTTCAAGGATACAGAATTCACAGATTAACGCCTCATCTGGAGTTAATTCTAGTACAGTATCATTATCCTGAAATAGCAATCTGTTGCAAATAAAGAGAATCTAGATTTAGTGCAATAACAATCTTTGAGACCATTTATTTCTCAGAAATAAAACAAAGAATCTAGCACCTACAAATGCTTTCCTGTGCTCCCATGGGAATGTTTTAAATGTCTGGACTAACAGTATTATTGGTTGCTGCTATTCTTACTAATGTCACAAGGAAACTGATATAGACATTGAGAAGGCCTTGCTCAAGATACAGTCTGAGATAACAATCCCCCCAATTTGTTTTCATCCTAAATCCCTCACAGCATCCTAGAAGGAAAATGTATGCTTTCCCCTCTACTACTCAAAGACTTTACCTTCTCTAATGACCTTCAGGTATACTAGAGTATCATTAGCAGATGGCTAAAATGGTTTGCTCTAATGTGGGTAATCAACTTGCAAATGAATCATTCATTTCTTCATTTATTTCCACTCTAATAGGATCTCTCAACTATTTGTGTGGTTTATACACTATTTTAGGGAATGTTCACAATCCTCTTTGTGCTTTCTACAACACACACACAGGAAATGCTTTGTAAATAATTGTCACAATGAGTTTAGAATGACCAAATAAGTAATATAATTGCAGCATGCTATTAGGGATTAACCAAGACTTTCTACTAAAATCCTCTAAGGCAACATAAAGTCAAGGCCATCTCAAAATATGTAGATACCCAATATTGCAGTCAAAATATTTCTTAGATTAGAAGCTATATTTGATCACAGTGAGGTTTGTGCCTTCATCTACCAACCTAGCATGACCAATTATTTTATCTTTCCTTTATAGGAAGTCTAGATATGCTTATTCTGAATCATATTGGCAAGTCCTACTTCAATTATTTCGACTGGGACATCAGACATGTGCAAAAACTTATGGACATCAATTTCCTAAGCTATGTAACAATGACAATTTCAGCTCTTCCCATGCTTAAGAACAGTGGAGGAAGCATAGTAGTTGTTTCATCCATGGCAGGTAAGCATTAACTTACAGTGGCCTCAGAATCTTAAAGCCATTTCAAATATTATTGGTTTTCTTGTTTTCAGAATTACTTGTGATGTTGACTGTTATAATCATATGACTGCAAGCTTAAGTGATTACAGCTTATGTATACCCAACCTCCCTTTTCTAATATACATAATCATCCTACATGATGGTTAAATCACAACTTTTACTGCATTTTTGCAGTTGAGATATTTTGTATTAGGGAAACACATGAAGCTTCTGCAGGTGCTCATTCTTTGAAGAACAACAAGGGTTAGATATTTTTCACAAAAGAGACTCTGGTATAATATTACTTTTTACAGTATGCAAAATACATTGTATGTGAGTTTTGGCAGATGCATATTCAGCTATCCCATGTTCTTCAGGGTTTCTAGATTATACATTCTAGTCTTTTCTCTCTGTTTTTGACACATATCTATCTTGAAATGTTAATGCCTTACTAATTGAAAATTATGTCTAGTATGCCAAATCAGAATAATACCAGTTTATTGAGAATTGCTTGATAATCATCAAAGGCTTCTAAAAAGGAATAACTTTTTAAACAATTCATACTAGAGCTACTTGAGATCTATAATGTAAAGCAAAGAAAGGCATGCTTTCTAATGTACCTAAAGAAATAAAAGTCAGAAATGGAAAAGGAAATGTTTCCTTTGCATCCCAGTTCAATGTGTCTAAGAAAAGTATCTCTCAAGGAAAGTAGGCTTGTAGCCAGATATGAGTTTGGGGCTTGGTTAGGGCAAGGAATCAAAAGTGAGCTTTAGGAAGCAAAAAGCAACATATAACCTCTCCATTTAGATAGTCTTCCAGTATAGAAGCATGAATTTCCGGTTCATATTGAATAGAGTTTAGTTTGGGATTCCATTTTAAATATATATTCTTTGTACTTGGATGCAAACTGACAGTTATCTGAGTAATTCTCACTCAAATTATTCACTCTTTAATTTTTTTAAAAAATTGTTCTATTCTTCCCCATGCTGGAGAAACAATTGAATGTAATGTTATATGTAATTAAACGTATAATCCATATGTTTAAAAATACACACTTATCTAGTTATATTGACCAATTTGTTGCCCATGTACTGTGGATGACCAATGGCATAGGAAAGATAAGAGGAGCTATGCCAGTCCAAGATCAGTGTGCTCTTGCAGGCTCCCGTGATGCTGCGAGGCTGCCAGTGACCATCTCTGAAGTAAATTGGTTC